CCTCTAGCCTCAGAGAGACAAAGACAGAGAGAGAGAGAGAGAGAGAGAGAGAGAGAGAGAGAGAGAATGAAATGATGGTGGCTTGATAGAGCAGATAGGATAAAGGATAAAGATCCTGGGTATATTTGGATGGAAGAGCCAACAGGATTTCCTGATGGATTAGGATGCAGAGAAAGAGAAGGATCAAGAACCTTAGTCTTTGGTTTGAGTAGTAAAAAGATATATTGGGTTGAACAATGGTTCTTAACCTAAAGAATGATTTCATATATTTCCAGTTAATAGCTGCCATTTACCAAGATGAAGAAACCTGTGAGGAAGAGGAGAGGGGATGGCATCTGAAATGTATTCTGGGTTCCAAGGAAGAGATGGTGAATAAGTGCCTCTATACACATATCTGGAGTTGGAATTGAGGGCTGAGGGTCCATATCCCTAGATATCTTTTGGGAATCATTAGGGATGGCAGCTAAAGCTCTGAGGCCAGATGAGGTCACACAGGGATTAAGCAGAGACAAAGCTGAGCTCTGAGGCGTCCACAGCTCCAGACCAGAAAGATGACACAATGAAAATGGAAAGACAGGATACCACAGCTATGGAAACAAGGACTCAAGCCATGGCACCTGGCCCAGGTGTGAGCTCCCTAGATGTAGGTGTAATGTCCATGCTTCCTCTCTCCTTCAGGTTTGGTGTTAGGGAATAAGTATCTGTGTATTGTGTATGTGATATCGTGTACACACGTGTGGACATAACATCTCACGTGTAACTAGTGCTAGAGCTGTGGAAACATCTCTGTGACCCAGACAGGAGCTGTTCTGCTGCTTATAGATGAGAAAACGGAAACACAAAGGCTGGGTACTTCTGGCTCTTTGAGTAATAGGTGGGTCCTATTATATCGGGGTCCCCAACTCCAAGGTGTCACTTAATTAGGCTGCACATTCCTCAGTGCTCATTGCTTCTGAGGATACAATGACCAGGTTACACAGAGATGACTTGAAGTGAGTTTTAAGCTTTCTTTTGTAAAATCTTGGTGTGTGTTCTAAACATTTGTGTGTGTGTGTGTGTGTGTGTATGGGTATGCCTGTGCCACAGTATGTATGTGGACAACCAAGGGCACTGGTCCTTGTCTTTCACCTTGTTTGAGGCAGGGTCTCCTGTTTGTCACTGTGAAGTCCAGGCTAGCTGGCATCCCATCTTGCTGTAGGAGTACTGGGATTACAGATACAAAAAAACCACATGGGAATCTGAACTCAGGTCCTCATGTTTGAGTGGAAAGCACTGTACCCATTGAGCCATCCCCTCAGCACAGAATTTTACAGTTTTATTTCCACAAAGACTCTTCTGATATGATTACCTCCCGGAGGGATCCAGACCTGCCATCTGAGATGTGAGTGTAACTGTTTACAATGAACTGCTGCTTTCTGCATGAGAAACCATCACGTGGAGCAAGAAGGCTGTATTGGGGGAATTTTCACACTGGGTAAGGAAAACAGTAAATCCACCAGAGTCTTGGAGGTTAACAGGTCATTTCAGAAACAGTACAGTTTCTGGCTGGCCTCACTCTACCAAATGACTGGTTTCCTCTTACTCTTGGAGTGCTGCTGGAAGCTTATTTTTTTTTTGCCTTATAGAAGCTGATTCTATGAGCAGAGGCCCCACGGTCAAGCGTGGCCTTACCCTGGGCAGAGATAAACAGGCCCGGAATCCATTTCTCAGATTGCAACACTGGTGAGTCAGGCAGGGTCGACAGCTACTCCCTCCCAGGCGCCCCTTGGCTGTACCTGATAAGGAAGCACATCGCTCATTCCAGAGCACCTTCCAGTGAGTGCACATGTATAAACAGACACTCCCAGGCCCTGCTGTTGTCTTAGAGTAAATTATTGACATTCTGAATGGCTGAAGTGCAGGAAAAAGGCGAGAGAGAGCGCAAACCTACTAGGCTTAAGAGGAACTCCAGTTTTCTTAAGTCAAACCACGGAAAAGCTTTTGAACTTATTGGGTCAAGGGCAAGCTCAGGAGTTCCCTGGAGCTCTGGAAGTAGGAGGGAAGAAAAAAGTCAGATTAGGGGAGGTGGATTCATGAAAGAACAAATGGCAAACACCCAGAGAGAAATGTGTGTATACTTTTAGCACAGAGACAATGGCTGTTATAGCATTATCAAAACAAACAAAAGCAATCTCCCCAAAGTGAATGACACCCTCCTCTAAATGCCATTTAAGCAGTGGGGAAAGCTGGGATACTGATAGTACAGCAACAGCTACACCAGAATACCAGCACCAGTGCCACACTCTACCTGGTAATCAAAGTCACCTTACCTCTATAGAAGCAGTTTATAGTTTCGAAAGGGCTTTCGCATTCATCTTTTCTATTGACTCCATCAAGGTGGGGTATGCCATTGGAGTCACATTTTACAGATGGGAAAACTGAGGCTCTGGGAGGGTATATGCAATTAACTGAGGCATAATTAAGAGCAGGGAGGGGCAGATTTGTCTTAAGTAGCTGAGAACTAAAGCACTTCCTAGAGGTACAGTGACTCTCCTTTAGGATGAACCTTTGGCCACGACTGTGCAGAGGGCTTAGGCTCCATTGCATGCTTAGATGGAACAGCCACACTGTCAGCAGAGTGTTTAGCAAGTTTCTGTCAATAAACACTCCTCTGACTATTTTTGCCTAGTTCTTGGCTCACAGATGTATGGGTGAAGAGTAAAGCACAGGTAGAATTTCCAGGCCCCTCTTCCTCCAGTGTCCTTTCTTTGACCTCTTCTGTGGATTCTGTACATAACACTGTGCTTCTAGAGACAACTTTGGCTCCTCTAGGTTTGCCACTGTGTGTGGTGGTGGGAGGAGAGGAGGCCATGTAGCACCTGTCTTCTTGGCATAGGATGTTATGTCAGGTAGTGTTCTGAAAGGAAGATGCCTATTAGAATCTTGAGGTTTTCTGACTTTGGCCAGCATCAGAACCATCTGGGGAGCTTGTTAAAGACAAGGATATTCAGGCCTCACCCCAGACCTTCTGAATCAGAATTCCCAGGGGCTGTGCTTGGACACCTGTGAGCTTAACAAGCTCCCCAGGTGATTCTGAAATATTTAGGTCAAGCTTGAGGACTACTGTCTTAGCACAGTGGTGAGAGTTAATCAGGCAAAGGAGTGTGGGGAGCTACTCTGGGAGAGAGGGCGGCAGCAGTAACACTCTAGGAAGCCTTGTGCAGACAGCAAGAAAGACAAATCTTTTCATTTTTTCTTCCTTCAATAAAATGATCAAATAAAGGGGGTTAGAAGTCCCTTCAGACATATCTTCTGAAAGATTTGCCATGGGAGAAAGCAATGAACTTGTAGACTAGCTCGCTGTTTTTCAGAACATAGAGTGGACGTTACCAAAGGCTGAGGGGAGTGGAGATGAAGGGCCATTATTTAATGGGTGCACAGTTTCTGCTTGAATTGATGAAAAGGTTCCAGAAGTGAACACTGGTAATGGTTGCATGATAATTAACATTATTTAATGTTGTTGCACTGAATACTCAAACATGGGTAAAATGGTAAATTTTGTATGTTACAATAAAAAAAAAAGCTGGTGCTGGGCATGGTAAGCACATGCCTTTAATCCTACTACTCAGGAGGCAGAAGCAGGTGAATCTCTGTGAGTTCGAGACCAGCGTGGTCTATGTAGGAAGTTCTAGGCCAGCCAGGGCACAGTGAGACCATCTCAAAAAACAAAACAACAAACAAACAATAAAAGCTACTCTATTTTGAAGGGTAGAGTGACAAGAACAAATATTCAACTTTAGCCCATGGTTGCTGTCCCAGACATACATATGGTGTGTGCTTGGGGGGGGTATGGGCATGGGTGTATGTTTGGGTGTGTGTGTGTGTGTGTGTGTGTGAGTGTGTGTGTGAGAGAGAGAGAGAGACAGATTTATAAGGAAACCCATCTCTGACAAAGCACAAGTGTAGTAGTCATAGGGAAAAGGCAATAATAAAGCTTTTGAAATAGTTGGCAGTGAGAATCTGGTGTAAACATAAGAGATGCCTGGAACACTCTTACCTCTTTTGCCTGGTTGGCTCCTAGGTTCAGTGCCATTTTTGTGCCTGTAGAGCAGTATCCTTCAAACTTCACTGTACATACGAGCCACTTGAGGACTTTGTTCAACAAGTGCATATGCTAAGCAGGTCTAAGGCAAGCTCTTAGCCAGCATTTCTAACCAGCTCCCAAGTAACGCTGACACTCTAGGTCCATTCTGGGAAGGGCTGTGTACATTTTATCGTTATTCACTGTATCCTCACGTCCTCAGAGTTATAGAACACAAATGGTACTTAATGTTTATTAAACGAATGAAGGTGTCCATATGCTTGGTATAGGAGTTTGGAAGGCAGAACAGTCTTTTATCTGAACTACAGCATATTTGGGGTGTTTCTATCAGTCATGCACTTTGTAAGTTTGAAATTACCTCAAATTCTGTAAAATGAAGATGTTAGTACTAAATTATTTCTGGTCTTGCCACGTTGCTGTTTTTCAACTGTAGTCTTCGAAAAACTGGCCCTATTTGTGTGGAGGGCAATGAACCTTGGTTTGCAAGATGTGTGGAAGCCTTGTTGTAGTCTACAATCCCTGCAAATAAATTCTTTCCATCTGAAAAGGGAGAGGCATGTGGAGAAAAGGCTGGTGTGGGAATTTCCAGATTTTTGACTCCAGTCTGAGTAATTGCCACTTTGGCCTCCTCCATATCCAAACAGCCTTTGTAACACTGGGTGAGAGAGAGGTTCACAAAGCACATGAACGCAATCATATTGACATTATTTACTACCATCGTCTATGTTGATAGTAACAACACTGGCAGTTGAGCGATGAAGTGTGTATGGAGGTTGGGGGAGGGGGCTGAGGGCCCTGGGCTGGCAGGAGAAAGAGGAACTACATCTCCCAGAACCCCTCGAGAAAGCCCACGCCGTGCCGCCCCACCCCTCTCGCCTCCGGTCCAGCCCCTCTGATGACGTCACAAAGGTGACGTCACGGCGCCTAGAGCGAGGCTAGGGTAGAGAGGCCGACGGTGCTGGAGTCGTAGGCTTGAGGTGGAAGCTGCTAGGAGCTGGCAAGAGCGTGAGCGGGCGAGCGGGCGAAGGAGCGCGAGCAGGAGGGAGGGAGCGGCGCACGGCGCGTAGCAGCGCCTGCCGGGCCTCGGCCGAGCCCCAGCCGGAGGGCAGCCCGAGCCGGAGCCGCGGTCCCCCACCCCCACCCGGCCGGGCACTGCCCGGTGTTCCCCTGTGCGGGGACCGGCGGCGGCGGCTGAGCGGACCCGACGAGACCGCGGGGGGGTTGCCACCTCCGCCGGGGAGCCGGCGCGGCCGCGGGGTTCTGCGAACCGGGCCCGGGGCCCTTGACAGACGGGCCGAGGAGGAGAGAGAGAGGCGGCGGCGGCGCAGGCGACGGAGAGGCAGCGGCGGCGGCGACACCATGTCATCCCCCAGTCCCGGCAAGAGGCGGATGGACACGGACGTGGTCAAGCTGTATCCTTCGTGGAGGGGGACTCAGGGCTGCGTGTGGGGCGGGGTGGGGATGCCCGAGGCTAACTGGAAGCCTGGGCGAGGGCCCTGGGGCACTCCAGGCCACTGGCCGAGTCTCCCCGCCCTCCCCCCGTGCTTACGGCGGACCCTTGGCACCTCCCGGGAACCCCGGGCTTTATCAGCTCCCTTTATCTGCAGCCCCCTGAAACGTGCGCTGCTCCTTCTTTTCCTTCACCCCCGTTCCCCCCCCCCCCCCGGAGCCCGTGACTTTTGCTCCACGACGTTTGGATTCCCAAGATAGCCCTTTTGGTTGAGGTGGGGGGGGGGCAGAGCTAGCCGTCTTGTTCGTCACCCCTAGCTCATCTTCAGGGTCTTTGCTTCCTGTTTGCTACCTTGGGATTTCTGGACTCAAGGTAGACATTCCTGAGAGGAAGCCTTTCTCCTTTTCGTGAGGTGTCCGGGTTCCTTCTACTACGGTGCTTCTGAAACTGGGGTAACTCAAGCGACCTCCTTTATCCCTAATTCCTTTCTATATTAGGAAGAGAGTAGTCTGCTCAGGGCCCCTCTTGTAATAAAGGGCTCCGTGTGTTTTAAATCAGAGGCTCTATTAAGCTTTCTGGTCTGGAGAACCTTCCTGTTTTCCTTTCTACTGACAAAGCCTATCCTGCCCATAGTGCGTGCATGAGGACCCCAGGCCCTCCAGCAGGCAGGCCTCCCTCCATATTGTGGCTCTGACAGCTGGAAGGAGAGAAAGGAGCTCCTTCACAGACCACTTAAGCAAAACTCCCTCTGTGAGAGTCAGTTCTTGGCGTCGGCTTGCCCTGACCTGGCCAAAGTGACACCCTTTATTTTTTGCTCCCCCCCCCAACTTATATACTCCAGGTTGCAGTGGGGAAGCTGTAACTGATAAGAGTCTTTTCAGGCGGTGGTTTTGGTTGAAGTCCAGACAGATAATTTCATGACCAACTAGAGAAATCCGCGAAGGTTCTGACACAAATCGAGGATTTTTTTTTTTTTTTTTTCTCTTTTGAAATTTTTTGAGCGCTAATTTGGGGGGTGGGCGGCAGAGAGCCCAGTGTTCCAAATAGCTAATCCCTGGGGGGAGGGGGAACGGTAGTGTGTGAAACTCTTTAAAAAAGTCCTGTCTCCTGTTTCTCTTTCTGCCTCACCCCCATCCCCCACCGTTTCCCCCTGTTGCAGGATTTTGTTTATATAACTCAAGTTGTTTGGCTAGATTCTTCAGGTGAATGCCTTCCTTTTATTTGTTGTTGTTTTTGATTGACTGCTTTACTTCTTTCTAGAGATCAGTGGTGGTTGTCAAATACCCAGTTATGGAATGAGCTGAAGTTTTTAAAAAGTAGTTTGTGCCTATGATTTTAAATTGGGGGATGGGAGGGAAGTTGCCTTGGCAAGAGATTTTTTTTTTTCCCTCCTCCCATAATATTTTCGTGAATAAGAATGTGTTTTTCCCCCTGCTCCGGAGACGGCTAGAAATTAAAAGTAGTAGATAAACTTGTAAGTTTAGGGTTCAGAGTTTAGGATTGTGAGGGGATAGTGTCAGGGCTTACAGAGGAGCCCGTAATAAAATGTAATATACCAAATATATACCTAGGTACAAGTGAAATCAACTCTGAGCTGTTTGTGGCTGTGATTGTTTTGTAAATGTGTGAATGATCCCTGGATTGGTGGCTTTTCATAAGCCTGCAGGAAAACTTGTAACTATGGCTGTGTGCACATTTTACACAAAGCAGTTTGGGGTTTTATTTTTGTTTAGAAACTAGGAAATGACATGGTGGCAGTCTCAGGAGTTATTATCTTGAATTGAGAGTTACTGTCACACTTAATGCAAATTTCTACCTAATGTATAATTGGGGTAGAGTCAGAGAGAGAATTCCAGCTGTTTTTGATCGATGTCAGACCCTTAGATTAGGTATCTACATAGATTTCTGAAAGATTCAGGAGAAAGAGTGAGGCCTGACTTGACCTGATGCCTTTTTCATACAGTGCCTTTTGTTCATTTAGTAGTTGTGGCATCTAGAATGATTACCGCACTTAGGAGTCGGGGTGTGGGGGGTGGTGAGGGAGAGGAAAACAAAGAACAGCAGGGTGTCTTTTTCCCCCTCTCCTAAGTGGCTTATTTCATAGCTTATTTTTAGTAGAAGATGAAGAAAGACTAAGATGCATTAGCTTCTGTTCTTTTCCCACCTTCCCTCTCCTGACAAAAGAAAGCAGGGCTCTTTAAAACTGTAGATCTGAGATAGGAGGATAACAGGCTCAGATTTGAAAGCCAGAGGTTATATTTGTTTCATGTTTATTTTCTGGTTTAATGTAGTTGGGAAGTTAAACATTTTTAGGCTTTCCTTTTGTGTGTGTGTGTGTGTGTGTTTTGTGGGGGTGAGAGATTTTGTGGCCTCCTTTCTTAGTTGAATTTACATCAGTAGGCCCAAATGGGGGAGTTCACAATTTTTGAGTAAGGTATACTCAGATTTTTTACTAAGAGCCAGTTCCCCAACATACTACTAAGATGAGTACAATTGCATGACAGTGCTGGGGGTTAAGCTGAAGTACCGTAGTGAGGAAGTAGGAAAGATCTAAAGGAATGTATGGTGCTTCTTACCCCTGGTTACTCCTCGGTGGCTTCCATGGCGTGGAGGCTGATAGCTGGTTTCATTGCCATCTCCTGTTTCAGCCCATTTTGGGTTGTCTCCTGGACGTAATTACACCACCAGGATTTACAGCCTGGCAGGGCACCTATATAGTAGGAAAGTAGCGGTGTGGGGGTAGGGAGAGGAGAGCGTGTGTAACTAGATGCTCTCACCTCGACAGCCTCTCAGCAGACACCATCTCTTGTTGTTGTTTGGAGTTGGTGATCTTTCTTTTGTGATGGGTTGGTAGGAGGAGAGCTGACTCCCAAGTTATGCAGGGAGTGAGTGTTTTGCACCAATTCATTTAATAATCTGCTGGGCGATTATGCTCTGAAACTCTGACTCATTCATTGTTTCTCTTCTGATCCTCAGCTGAGGGTTGTGCAAACCTCCCCAGGTGCCTACAAACTGATTTACATGACTTTTGGGCGCTATAGAAATAGGTCCCAATAAAAACATTTGTCCTCAGCTAATCCTGTGGAATGGTCTGGGGTAGTGCATCCATTTGCTTGCCAAAGTCAGGTAGATAGCCAGGCTGAGAGCAGACCAGGGTCACCCACCTTTGAGGTTTCCATTGCCAGCCCCTGATGATTTAGATTGAGAACTGGGACTCTGGTGACCTTAAAGCGTGATTTGCCCTAAAGGAATATTGGTTTAAGTTCTCCCCGGTGAAGGAGCAAACAGCTCAGATTTCATGGGTTTCCTCACTGGTTTCTTGTCGCACCCTGTTGCACAGCCTTGGTGAGCCTTTTATCTGTGAACCAGTGGCCCCTGCTGAAGGCTAGGGCTGCTTGTTTTGGAAAAGCCTATGCAGGCAAAAGGCCGCAGGCACAGCTCCTTGCAGCTCATTGGCCGCTCTGTTACTACCCGGAAAAGGAGGAGGGGTGGAGCCACCAAACAGCTGATGGGAGTGTGTGACAAGAGTGTTTACATACAAAAGAGGTGGGGGCTGGGGAGCCCTTTGAGTTGGTTACTGGACCAAATGTGTGTGGTGTTCAAGGGGTAAAGAAGGAAACCTGGCCTGTTAGATTCAAGAAATGTTTCAAAAATGAAACCAGAAAATGGAATCTGATGATGATGGGGACTTGGCACACCCTGTATTTGTTACTGGTATAAGATTTGGAAATTTAAAGATACCAGAATTTTCCAAGACACTCTTTTCCAGAAGGATCGCAGTAACAAAACAGGCTGTGCCACTTTAAATGTACTTAACTGATTCATGACAGCAATTTAAAGGCAGGGTAGAAATGTAAGCTCCAAAACTTCCAGGGTGGTAGAAAGAGACAGTATCTCACTCCTTATTAGCCTGAGTGAATTTCACAGACATTCTAGTAGCTACTTTAGCATTTCAGTTTTCTATAATAAGTTCAAACGCTTAAATATTTGTGCACCCTTGGTATCAGGCTGTATGTGTGAAAGTAAACTCATTGTGAGTGGTCATGGTGCTTGAATTAGTCTTAAATTTTTCTTTTAAATCAGAAAGGACTTTGTCAGGTTAGCACTCTCTGAGGAATTTGTATTTTCATAATTGACTTTTTAATTGAAAAGTTAGGGCTGGAGAGATGGCTCAGGGGTTAAGCACTGGTGGTCCTTGCAGAAGACCTGGGTTCAAATCCCAGCACCCACATGGCAGCTAACACCTGTCCATAACTGCAGTCCCAGGGGATCGACAGCCTCTTCTGACCTTCTTGGGCATTGCATGACATGGGTGCACTTACCTACATGCAGGCAATACACACATACGCATAAAATAAAAATATATAAACTAAATTTTTTAAAAGTTTAAATACATAAAAGAAATTGAAAAGTTAAAAAGTAATTTTATGTGGTAAGAGTATATATGGATGTCCAAACCTCCCTCCCTCCCTCTCTCTCTCTCTCTCTCTCTCTCTCTCTTCCTCTTCTTCCCTCTCCCTCTCCCTCTCCCTCTCCCTCTCCCTCTCTCTCACCCTCTCTCTCACTCTCTCTTTTGAGACAGGGTCTCCCTGTAGCCCCAGCTGGCCTGGAAGTAGCTGTGTAGACCAGGCTGGCCTTGTTCTCATAGAGCTCTGTCTGCCTCTGCCTCCCAAGTGCTGGGATTAAAGACATGCACCACCACACCCCGCAGCTTCCCTTTATTTTTTAAAAAATAGATGCTAAAAAAAAAAAAAAGAAACAAAAGCAAACATTAAGCTGTGTAGCCATTTGTCACTGACTTTAACTTTGGAATTTACAGTTAATCAGTAGTTATTTTTGCCCTTAATCTTTGTTACTCTTTAATTTGTGTTCACAGTGTAGACAATCTTTTAACTAGCCCCAGTGTTGATTAGGAACCTGTGGTTTACCTTACATTTCCTGTGGCCTCTCTCACTGAGTTGG